CACTGGAGGCCCGCTCTCCATGGGAACGCCGTGAGGAGGAACGCCGTGAGGAGGAACGCCGTGAGGAGGAACGCCGTGAGGAGGAACGCCGTGAGGAGGAACGCCGTGAGGAGGAACGCCGTGAGGAGGAACGCCGTGAGGAGGAACGCCGTGAATGTCTATCATACGGACTTCGGTCATTCTGTGGGGGGAGGGCGGGGGGGTCTTGGAGCCCAGAGTGGGCAGCTGGCTGTTCCTGGACTTCTGCCTGTAGAGGGAGGGGTGGTCCACCGTGTCTGTGGGGCTGGGCCCCCCGTAGGAGCTGGTGGAGCGGATGGAGGCGCGGTGGAATCCACCCAGTGGATGATCCGGACCATCGAGACCGGAGTGTGGTCCGTGGGCGGAGGTGATGCTCATCCGTCCCTCCTGGAGCAGGTACGGGTCTGCATACAGGGCCTCGCCCCCCCTGGTGAGCGTGTGGCTCTTCCCACCCAAGTCCTCGTCCGGCTTGACATCTCGTCTCTCCAGGATGGCGCTGGGACAGGGGGAGACGGAGCGCACCGAAGGGTTGGCGGCGGCCAGCCGCTCCCTGGGGAGGGTGGAGCTGCCGGGTATGGAACCGGGCCTGGGACCGAACGGGATTCTGGAAGGTGAGGGGGGCATGGAGTGTGGAGACGGAGGGACCCCTCCTCCCTGCACTGGGTGATGAGGGGGGGGGCCCAGGGGGGGTTGTCTGTCATGGTGAATCTGAAAAAAGAAAAAGATCATGAGCCTCACGTGGCCCCCGAGCCTTATTTTATACAGGCTGAGTCAAACTGTAGGTCGCTTTGATAAAAGCCTCTAAAGTAAACAGGCTGGGTGTGTGTGTGTGTGTGTGAGAGAGAGAGCTGGTACAGTAACACACACACACACACACACAGAGAGAGAGACTTGAAAACTCAAAGAAGAGAAAAAAAACACCCAGTTCTAAATATGGCAGCAACAAGTTCCACCAGGCCCAGACATCAGTGATGGGAACTGAGAGCAGCACAGAACCACCATTAAAGGGTGGGGGGGAGTGGTTAGGGGTGGGGGGGGGGGCGGGGGCAGGGGAGGGGTCAG